TTTGTTTTTTTACTGTTTTCCGTAAGGGTGTCCTAGTTAACGTCCCCACCAACACTGTATAAGAGTTCCCTTTTCTCTGTCTCCTTGCCATTTCTTGTTATTGTTTTCACCATTTTGATGATAGGTGTTCTGACTGGGGTGAGATGATATCTCATTGTGGTTTTGATTTACATTCCTCCAATGATTAGCAAAACAGTATTTTTTCATGTATTGTTGGTCATTTATATGTCTTCTTTTGAGAAGTATATTTTTAGTTCTTTAGCCCATTTTTTTTAGAGAGAGAATTTTTTAATATGTATTTTTCAGTTTTCGGTGGACACAACATCTTTATTTTATTTTTATGTGGTGCTGAGGATCGAACCCAGTGCCCTGAGCATGCCAGACAAGCATGCTACTGCTTGAGCCACATCCCCAGCCCTTTAGCCCATTTTTTTAATTGGATTGTTTGTTTGGTACTCAGGTTTTTTAGTTCCACGTATATACTTGATGACAATCATATACTTTATGTCAGTCAAGTACAATCTTGTTGAATGAGGAGTTTGCAAGTATTTTCCCCCATTCTCTAGATTGAATCTTAATTCTATTGGTTATTTCCATTGTTATGCAGAAGCTTCTTAGTTTGACTGAATCCCATTTGTCTATTTTTACTTTTGTCACCTATGACTTTGGGGTCCTATCTAAAACATCACTGCCTATGCTTATGTCTTGCAGTGTTTTTCCTGTTTTCTTGTAGAAACTTCAGAGTTTTAGGTTTAATAGTTAGGTCTTTGATCCATTTTGAATTGATTTTTATGCACATCTAAAGAAAGGGATCTAGTTTCATTTTTCTTCATATGCATATCAAATTTTCTAGCACCATTTATTGAAGATGCTGTTTTGTTGTTGTTGTTGTTGTTTTTATGTTCTTGATGCCTCTGTCAAAAATCAGCAGGCTGAGGCTGGGGATGAGGGAGTAGCTTAGTGGTAAAGCTCTTGCCTATCTTGCACAGGGTACTGGGTTCGACCCTCAGCACTGGGGGTGGAAGGGATTAGTTGGCTGTATTAGCACAGATTAATTTATAGTGAACCAACATTTTCAAAAATCCCCAAGACCTTAGCTCTTTGGCCAGCCTACATCTTTCAACCCAAGCCATTATCTGAGGTATTATACTGTGACTACACTGGCCCAGGAGGGAAGAGGGTGGGACCTTGGGAAGAAATATGACACTTTTTCCAAATTGGAATCTCTAAGTGCCTCAGGAGAGCTTACTGGATGTTTGAAATGTTAGTCATAAACTATAAATCATTATAGAACATCCTATCTGATGACTGCAGCCATGGTTTATGTGTGTGTGATCTGACACGTTCACTGTCTTGACTAACTGGCTCGGTCTCCAAAGAACTTCCCTTGTTCTTACCTCCAAGGTGTTTTCCCACAGAGCCTCTTTTCATTCTAAAAGGGAGTGGGATAGAAAGGTCTTCCTCATTTCCTGTCAATTTTCTCTTCAAAGGCTCTTCCTCTTTCACAGTTTTGTGCTAGGAGTACCTAGCAGAAAGTCTCAACAAAATTTGAATAACCTATTTCACTTCACCCTGAGGCAATGAAGAGGAAAAAAATCATAGAAGTAAACATTACACACATTTGAGTTTTTAATAAACTTCATTTTTTTCATGCAGTTTTATGTTCACGGCAAAATTGAGGGAAAATTACAGAGAATTCCCATACACCTCCTGTCCCCACATATGTACAATTTACCCATCATTAGGACCCTTCACGTTGTGGTATATTTGTTACCACTGATGAACCTACATTGACACATCGGTATCACCCAAAATCCATATTTTACATTAGCGCCCATTCTTGTGGTGTTGTACATTTCATTGGTTTGGAAAAATGCATAATGACATGTAATCCCATCATAATATCATACAGAGTATTTTGCTAACTTTTAAATCTTCCAATTTCCACCTAATCATTTCTTCCCACCAACCCCTGAACACCCCTGAGATTTTTACTTTCTCTATAGTTTTGCCTTTTCCAGAACATCATATCATTGGAATAAAACAATACAGATTTTTTTCCTTTCCTTTCTTTTCCTTTTCTCTTCTCCCTCTCCCTCTCCCTCCCCCCCCCCCCCTCCCCCCCCCCCCCCACCTCCTTCCCTCCCTGCCCCCTCTCTGTCTCTCTTTCTGTTAAGGATGGATCCCAGGGCCTCCCACATACTAGGGAAGCACTCTACCACTCAGCTATACCCCCATCCCTTTTTATTTTATTTTGAGACGGGGTCTTGCTAAGTTGCCAGGCTGGCCTTGAACTTGCAATTAGATCACATACCATGAGGCCTGGCTCTACACAGTTTTTAAACCTCTAGGCTGCATCAACAACCTGGCTTAAATTACATGGTTACTTATATGTATGCACAAATTATAAGCATTTACTAAACCAGATACTAGAACCAAGAAAGTGGTCTGTGCCCTTGAAAAATTTCTTGAGGCAGGCTCATAGAGAAATCAAACTCCGGAAATCACATACTCAACTTTATAAACTTATAGCACACTACGTTATATATGTGAAGTATTAAAACAGATTCGGAAAGGGAAAATAGCAGACCACAGAAAACTTGAAGTTTTAGCTGAATCTTAATGTGTTTGTCAGGCACAGAAGGAAAATTCCAAACAGAAGCAATATCACGTATAAAATCACAGTCAGGAAAAAATAATACTATGTACAAGGAACAATAATAACAAAAAGCTTCAAAACTGATGAATAGTGCATGGGGAGAAGAGTATTGGGAAGACAGGCAAAGACTAGACTGAAATGTTTTGAATGCCACGCTGTATTTCAAAAACACCAGAGACGGGTAAAAGTTATTAAGCAAAGGAAATACATTTTAGAAAAACTCTGGAAAGAATGGATTCGAGAATATATAATAAGAGCATTATTTCTCTCAATAGCTGTGTGAAAATTCTGGGGGGAAAGTATATCAAAATGAAGATTTCTGGGACCCACTCTTTACTGAGACAAAATTTCTGGACTCAAGGCCTGGGAATCTATAAATGTTACACGTCTACCATAAGTGATTCTTATGGGCTCCAAAGTCAGAGACTAGAACTAGAATGAGAGAGATCGGTTAGGAAGCTTTTGCAATTGCCCTATTAAGAAATGAAATGAGTTAGATCAGTACATGATGCTCCTCCAGACTAGCTCATAAGGAAAAACAAGTGTTTTATGTCCATTAAGCAATCTTCCATATCTTATGCAAATATTAGAGGGATGATTTAAAATATAGGGGAATTTGTGCACAGCTTATGTGCAAATAGCACAGCAATTTATCTAGGGAATTTGAGCATCTAAGGATTTTTGTATACTTGGGAGTCTTGAAACTGATCCCCCACAGATGGAAAGGGAAAACTATTTGTTCCAGACTGATCTGTGATGTTGGTAAAGACATTTGATACCTTAAGGATCATACTTTGAAGTGACAAAGCATTCATATGCCTAAGTCAGGAATTCCCAGGAGTTAGATAAAGTATTCATCTCCAATTAACAGACTGGATAGGGAGATTTCACAGGAAGATAAAGATATTCTTGTTTGTTTGCTTGCTTGCTTGCTTGTTGTCCCCTTACTTGCATTGTAAGCCCCAGGAGAGCAGAAATCTGCTGTCTCTGACAACATTGATGGTGCTCTTGTGCCAATGGTGCTTGGCATACAGTAGGCTCGCGGCGAATACTTTCTTTGAAAAGTGGAAAGACAGACAAAACCAGCAAGAAATGATGCAGCGTCAGAAAGAATAGTGGATGGAGAACTGAGAGACTCCGTCTGTCAACTACTGTTCATTCAACACCTACAGGGCGCTAGAAGCTGGGGATTCCTGTCCTTAAGACATCGACGGTGCCAGTTTCTGGTTTTGATTCTGCTAATCAGGAGAGTGCAACCCTGCCAAGTCATCTGCCTTAAGGTTCGGGCCTTGATTCCTTGTTTGTAAAATGAGGCGCTGGCCAAAAAGTAGGATGACAACGAAAGCCCTTTCCAAATCTCAGTTGTATCCGTCTGCTTTACCCTCTTCCCTCATTTGTCCCTTTTTGAAGTGAACATAGGACTGTGCTTTCTGCCACCTAAGACCAGGTCCAAACCCAAGGAGCTTAAGTAGAGCTATTCCCCAGGATTAGCTTCTCAAACAGCTATAGAAATGCTAAATAGTAACAGATCTGGAGTCGGAAAACAACGTGGCACTAATTGTTCAGTTTTTCCTCCAGGTCCAACACTGAGGAAGCCGGCCCCCTCCGGCGACGCACTGAGCAGCTCACTAGTGTTAGGACGGGAGTCTCAGGGAGGTCTGGCAAGGTGGGGCCGGCAGACACCCACCTTGAAAAGATGCTGCCCTAGCTTCAGGGGAAAGGGCCGGGCCTGCAAATAATACCCGGGGGCAGGAGGAAGTCTCTCATTGGCCGGAGGGAAGGTGACGAAGAGGGGGCGGGGTTTGCCGGGGGGGGGGGGCAGTATTAGGCAGGGGGTGTGAGTAGCCGGGTGTCAGTTTCGGAATTCCAGTTGGTTCTCCTTCGCACGGTGGGACTCGAGCCTAGCTTCCCGCTAAAGCCTTTGCTTCTACTAGCTGGGAGTTGCTGCCGTCTGGGCACTCCCTCCTGGCTCTGCATCGCTCCGCATCTCCCGCAACCCGAAGCCCTTCGTGCATTTCCTCTGTGCTTCTGCTCCGGGAGAGTTTCTGTTTGTTTCCTCCTCTTTCCTCTTTGTTGCTCTGAAAACCGTCCTTAGTGCATCCCCCCACTCCGGAGGGAGTTGGACTTTTCGAGAAAAGCCGCTGCTGCACACTGCACCGGCCACTCCTGCGGACCCGGTAGGCACTGCGCCCTACCCGCCTGCCCTCCCCTCCGCCTGCGTTCGTTCGCCCGAGAAGGCCCGCCCAGACTTCATTGATGCACCCATTCCAGTGGTGTAACGGTGAGTCTCGGGGCGGGAAGGCGAGCGGACTCTGGACTGGCCGCAGACGCCAAGGGGGCGCAAGGTTTAACGTCTGATGGGTTCGTCTTAGCTCTCGAGTTAAGTTTTTCATGCAATGGGACGGCGAAGAAGACGACCTGGTGTCCAACTCTGCGGTGCACAGCGCGGAATTTGAAACAATCCAGTTTTAACGCGAGGGCTTGGAAGGGGTCTCTGAAAGTGTGGCAGGCCAGGGGCGTGGGAGCCAAGTGGTTCCCAGCCTTTGTGTGGCGATTCGGCTTTTCTACCCCCTTCCCCTGCCTTTGTGCGCTCAAACTCTGTTCTTTGTTGTGGTGGTTGGAGAATTAAATCCACGCTCGGGCTAGGTTCTCCTAGAGGGAGCTCAAGTTCCCGGTCTGAAACTTTGCAGGCTATTTTAAATATGTATACAGTGCAGCGTGCGGGACAAGGCGCGGGGGTGACTTCCTCTCTCTTTGTTGGGTTCCCACTGGCAGCTAGTAGGACTCCGCCGGTGGAAGACGATGGATTAGAGTCTCGCTTTACTGAATGAATAAAGTCTTGCAGATACCTCCGCTCCCAGCTATTCCTGTGGTAGGAGGTTGGCCTAGCAGGAGCTCTGCTTTCTGGCCCCAAAGCCAGGCTATGCGGTCTGTTCCCGAGCCTGCGTGGTGACCTCACCTCCAGACCCAGCCCCCCACCCATCATCCCCCAGTCCAGGCCTGGTTGAGGCTGCTGAGTTAGTTCATCTCACCTGAGACTTTTTGGCGGTTCAGGTGATACGGATTAGGTTTGGGTCTGAATTTCTCACTGAAACTGCACGAAAGGAATACTTCTGAGCAAATCACTTTTAAATACCAATATTCACCCACCCTTCCCCCAGTGGTCCTAGAATCTTGACCGCGTTTTTCCGACGCTGGGAGTGGGGGTAGCGGGAGTCTAGAAGGAGGTGGGAAGCAGCTGGCCTTATTTTGAGTGTGGCAGCCTGGCTAGTTAGGAGGGGGGAAAGATCCATTCTTGAGAGTAGACTCCTGCCAGATCTTGGATTAATTATTTCAAGAGGCTTTTGTTTTAAGGCCGGGTTTGGGCAGCATGTGTATGAGTGTCCCCCATCCCCCTTCTTCCTCCTTTTGCTAGTCGGATCTAATTTCCTGAAAATGAACCAAGCCGTGTGTGATAGGCGGGTAATGTGGGAGAGGGGGCGGAGGATGGGGGTTGAGGAAGGACGGTGCATCCCAGCATCTGGGAAAGATTCCCGTTGGCTGGGAAGGAGAAGCAGTTCCCAGATCCCCTGGTCTTTCTTGGCCAGCCCTTCTCTGACGTCATTCTTGCTCTCAGCCTGCCAGCTGAGATGAGACATTCTGATGTCAAGGCTTTCATAGGTTGGCGGAAACAATGGAACAGAGACTTAGAACTAAGGGGCTGTGGTTAACACTGGTCTTTCTTCTGGACTGCTACCTTTCAAATGCGATTTTAGGTCTTGCTTAACCTTTCATACTTTCCACCCTGTCTTGCTGAGTATTAAACCTAAGACTGATGCTCATGCTAAGCACAGCTCTACCCTTGAACTGCACTCCAGCCCATATCTTTCACTTCTTAAAGTGGCTGACTAATACTGTCCTTTGACTCCAGTGAGGAAGCAACAGCCTTCCCTACCCCTAAGGAAAACAGCTGGAGCTCCTATTACCTGGGACTAGCAATCTCTGTTCTTTGCAAGTTTCTTGCACTAACCTAGTCCTGGAGCCCCAGGGAAAGCCTTTATGAGACAGGAAAAGATGGAAGAGATAAACTGATTAGAGGACTGCTGGGGCCACAGTGCCTCCAGGGTACACGTGTATACTCTCTGCCATGGTTGCTACCACAGCTTTGCAAGTCCCCAGAGCAGGAAACAAAATTAGGTTCTTTGGGACCCAAAAGATACCAGGATTCAGCTCATGAAAGATAACACAGAAGAGCCAATGCATATGGAGGGAAGGTAAGTTAAGACAGCTTATTAGCATCAGATATGGCTGAGGCCAGAGCAAATGGTACAGGTTGTGAGAATAAAGAAAGAGAAGGGTCATTGAAATGGCACAAAGACTGCCACTCCTACCTTAAGAAGTGGGAGACTGGGGTGGGGCAGAACACCACATTAGCATTGAAAAGAAGATATAGTTTTTTGGAAGGGAAGTCCTGAGGCCCTTTGCCAGTATAGATTGAAGGTTGGCTTTCTCAGGCCAGTCTAGCATGATCTCCTCATAGAAAACTGATATCCTTTAGCCCATGGAGAGCAAATATTTTAGTGGGAAAGGGTGGTGAAAGTGTCTTAGTTTATAATCTCCCATGCAGTCTAAAAGCAAGGGGCTTTCTAATGAACACAGCAAAGCTTAATAGCTAATTATTTCCTTAATTTCCCCTTAATTAAAAAGTCCTTCAGAACAAGAACTTCTTTTGCTTTCTGTTTTCAAACAATGTCTAGGTCAGGGCATAAAGCAGGCCTTTAACAATACTTGTTGGTTGACTGGTGATTTATTGGCTGAGGGCACTTTCTGGGCAGTTTTCCCAAACATCAATCTTCTTACTTTCAAGTAGGAGCTTTGCCAAGGGGACCAGGTTGTTTTGAAAAAGCAGGGAGTTATTTATCTATTAACTAGTTATCAAGACAAGCCAAACACTAGGCTAGGCACTGGAAAATATATGAAAGTTCATGTTGATGTCCTCAGACTTGGAGTATTTGGGCTTGTTAGGACTATACTCTCGGTGACTCTTAGTCTTGGTTCTCAGTCTTAGACCCACCTCTGCTGTGAAACCTAACTTTATGCCATGAAAATCTTTGTGTCTCTGCTTTTCTATAGAGTAAGATCGTCTGATGATTCTTCCACTCTTCTTTGCCCTTACTATCTTAGTGCTTATATAATCAATGCTCAATGCATACTTAAATTAAGTTGATGCTAGAAACAAGTGAGTATATAAAACACTGAATGAGCAAGGGCCAGAATAAGCCATGCAGGTTGTGAGCACTGTAGAATTCAGAACAACACAGCTCTTTGGAATATTACAAAGAACAGGTGGTGAACTTTAGAAAGAAGGAGGGAGTTCTAGGCAGAAAAGACTGCATGAATGAAGGTATAGATGCAGATGAGGACAAGATTGGGCAAGAAAATGTGAGGACAATGGTCATATGTGGAAGTGTTGAAAACACTGGGGAATTGCAAAGGGACAGGGGACGTGTTTAAGAGGACTTGAAACCAGACATGCATTTGGAAAGTACACGATAAATGGAATGAGAGGATGTGGTAGACATGTGGGGAAAATTAGACGAGATGAAACTGGAAACAGCAATGACAGCAATTAAGAGACAACTAGTCAGTAATGAGTATTTGGAATAGAGATGTGCAATAGGAAGCAGCACACTCTGAAAGAGATTTGGATAAAGGTGATGAAAAGGAATGAAACATACCATGTCAGAGTTGACTTCCAGTCTTTGGAATCAACCTTCTGCTGAGTGGTATTAGCATTAGTATTTATCTAATTTTACAGCATACTATCAATTCCTGACTCCTAACTTAAAGCTTCTATGCCTAGAACCCAAGAGCATAGAGACTTTGGGAGCTAGGGCTCCTTAGCTGTTTACTTTAGGGAGATTATTTAATGATTAAGTTTTTTTGTGTTTTTTTTTCCGCATTGGTGGGAAAAGTGACATTTTACTGTGGCATTCCAGTGATGAAACTGGAAGCCACATATAGTGGTGTACCCCTGTAGTCTCCAGAAGCATCACTTGAGTCCAGGAGTTCCAGGCCAACCTGGGCAACATAGTAAGATCCCAATTGTTTAAAAAAAAAATAAATTTAAATTGGTATCATGAGAATGCAGTCAGGAATTGGGACACAGCAGTCCCAAGTTTTGTTACTGAAGAATTCTCCCCTTTCCCTTCCTACTGCTGTTCTAAGCCATCAACTTTCTATCAGTTCTCTTTCCAGCTACAAGCTGGCTCCTACCCTTCTAGGTGCCCAGGGAGACATGACAGAAAGAGAAGCTTTTCTTTCCCAGCAGAACTTTGTGCCTTTGCCCAGAACCTGTTCACATACCCATGTCAACATGTCAACACCAAATACTAGCTAGAGGGAAATGACTGCCACAGTGGGAAAGCCAATCAAGACGTATCTCTGAGCCACGTGAAAAGGGAAGCAGAGTAACTAACTTAGTGCTTCTCAGACAAACTGTTCGGAAGAGTTACCTGAGTCTCTTGTGAAAATGTTGATTCTAGTTCTTTTAGCCTGGGCTGGGCCCAAGATTCTGCACATCTAACAAGTTTCCAGGGTGTACCATCTCCATAGTGGAACTGTACCATGAGACTGAGTACAAAAGACGGAGTAAGGGAAGCTGCAACTCCCCACCCCCAACCTCATCTCCACTTTCTGGAACACTGGCCTGGACTTGGAGTGAACAATTTCTATTCTAGTCCTGGCACAGCTTGTCTTCTGGAGCAGGTGGCTTAATAATGACAAATGACCTTTGCAATTGCACTTTGCAATTTATGAAGTCTATTTCTTATACTGTCATTTTAAGTCCTCTCTATATTTTGCTGCTTTTTAGATGACATGTGAAGCTTAGAGAGGTAGGCTTCTTAAAGGTCGTGCAGCTAGCTAGGGAGAGTTGGGTTAGAACCCAGGTAATTCATTTTCTACCTATGACCCTTCTTCAGTCTATGAGCTTCTACATGATGGAATTGGGTTTTCCATTTTCTCCTTGATCTAAATCCTTGATCCCTATAGGTACCTTGAATGGAATTCCATTTCACATATTGGTTAAATAATTTACCCAAGATCATAAAAACCTAGTAAGAGTTAGAGCTGTGATATTAGCTCAAGCCAAAGAATCAGAGGTTTAGGAGCCTTAGCCTGCCATTATTCTTTGCATTCCAGCTGACACAGTGTGCCATCACCCTCAGGGATAAATTTCCAAGTCTAATATTATTTTTCTTCTTCTTTTTTTGCAGGGTGTTTTTGTGGCCTGGGACTGGTTAGCACTAACAAGTCCTGCTCAATGCCACCCATCAGTTTCCAAGACCTTCCTCTCAACATCTATATGGTCATCTTCGGCACGGGCATCTTTGTCTTCATGCTCAGCCTCATTTTCTGCTGCTATTTTATCAGGTAGGTGGTTCACTGGCTTACTTAGGGAGGGAATTCAAGAAGGGAGGAAACCAAGTTAGAGTCACTAATCTCAGGCTGGAGCCACTGCTAGGAGGACATGGCTAAGCCTGCTCCTCTCTGGGCCCCTGAGGCCTGCTGTTTCTATTTATATCAGCCTATCAAGTTGTCCCAGAGCACATAAGGTCACCAAGGGTTGGATTGTATCCCATCTCTGGGCCAATTGTTGGACGGTTGCCTAGAATTACTATCCAGCTGTATAGTATAGTTGGTGGTCCCTAAGTATCCTTCTTTCCTCCACACTTATGCCCTCTAGGATGCCAGGATATCCATGATACCAGAGGCATGTTTTTCTGCCCTCCTGAGAAATCTTGTTGTCAGTTCCTCATGTTGATATTAGCAAGCTGATGTCTGGAGAGCTATATGTTGATTCTGTCTTGGAAGCTTTTATTTTGGAGAAGGGGGGAGGGGGGAATGAAAAATGTCATTTATTCTTAATTGCTTGGGGATCCAGGGAGGGACTTGAGGTTGGCAGGGGTAACCAAGCTCCTGGAACCGTTTTTTTTCCTGCTGTTGAAGGACCTGGGAACTGGTAGCTATTTTCTAAAGGAAAAACTTGGAGCACTTTGACATTCAGAGTGGAAATCAGGGTAGTAATATTTCTGACTATATGGGACTGTCCTGTACATTGGAGAGGGTTGGACATCCCTGGCCAATAAAACATGTGACAACTGACGCCTCTCCTACCACACATATTACCAAATGCCTGGGTAGATGTCAGCTGGGGTCTAGGCCAGTATCTGATTAAATTATTTAAGGAGATTAAGGACAAGGAGCACTGACTCCCCACTAAGATGCCCTGCTGGGTGCATCCTTCAACTGGAAGGCAGCTAGCAGGGAGTGGCAGACACTTGTCGGTATACCTCAAGGAAGGGGACATGGATATCCCCTCAGGCATTTCTCCAAAGTTCCAATTGGCTCCCTTGGGGCTATTTTTCAGAACTTTTCAAAACAGGTCCCCAGGACTAGACTTTTCCACTTAAGTCTATGCAAAGAAAATAATGGTTTATTTTCCCTCTTGTACAGTTGAGTGTTAAATTTGCACTTCAGTATTAATTGGGGGTAAGAAAAGACTTATAGTATCTTTTCCTCCCTCCATTCTTCTCCATTTTCCTGAACCCTAAGTTTTCTCCCTCAAACTTGTCTATCTACCAACTTATTCCTATGAACCCCTGTATCGAGCCATTCCATTTCCTCAAAAGCTAAGTACTAATAAGTATTTGATATGAATACATATCAAATACAAATACTTATTTAGGATGAAACTGAAAGGAGTCCATAAAACCGACTCTACTTGGACCCTTTCTACATGCACAAACACACATGCATACATGCCAAGCAGCAAAGGCGGTCAGCAGAAGAAAATCCAGAGGCTATCCCTCTGGCCAGGAAGTGAGTGACAAGGAAGTGGGTTTATTTCCTAACTGTGCCACTAATAGATATAACCTTCGGTTTTCAGCTACTCTTTACCAAGAGCTTTCCTGTGTTCCAGGCACCGTGGTTAGCATTTTGTAAACCATTTAGCTCATCAGCTTTTCTGAACAGGTTTAGTTATTAGCTCATGTATAAATGAAGACATTCATGCTCAGTTAAGGACTTGCCCAAGGTCACACATCAAGGGAGATGCTACTGGTGGGCTAGCATGGTAACAATTGGTTGATCTGTTAGATTCCTTCTATAGCTGTGCTCTCCAGGAGTCTAATTCCTTTCATGGGAAGTGGAGGAACTTCTGTGCCATTATTTGTACCCACTTCCAGCTGGGCATTGGAGTCCTAGAGAAAGAAGCACAGGCGAGGGAACCATGTGTCACTGATTTGTTTCTCTTTGGCTGCCGTAAAAGAACAGAGCAGTAACCATATGATACTAAAAGCTGTCCCACTGTGGGGCAGCTCTGGGCCACCTGTCCCTTCTGCAGTAATCTGCTCCTTTATCACCCTGTCCTGCAGCCCGCCCAAAGCCAGTTGACCCTGGAGTTTCATGGCTTCAGAGGCCCACTGGTATGTGCTATGTGTACCTATATATAGAAAGACACCCAAGCATAGAAGCCACTTCCTCTCTCTGCTTCTTAGTTTCCTCCTAGGCCAAAATAGGACCATGACCACTGCTCCTGACCTGGTGAGCTCATCAGCCAAAGCCAGCCTCTGCTCCCCTGCTGCCCAGTGCTCCTTTTCCCCCTCAGTGCTGACCTCTGCCCTGCACAGGATGGAGGGGCCAGTGAAGTACAAATGGGCAGGAAAGGAATAATTATTTTCAGGACCTGGCTTCATTGTTTCTTCTAAAAGGGAAGAGAGGAAAGGAGAGCCTGCTGGCAGTAGCTAGGGATGGTCTTATTGAATCCCGGGTATTTTTAGTTGCTTTGCTCAGCCAACAGCTGAGAAGGCCACCTGTCCATCCCCAGCTGGGATGGCCCGAGCTCTTTTCTTTTTGCTCTGTTTTCCTTGCAACCTTTTGGAGCCTCAGTTTCATCACAATCTAATCCTTCCTGAGCTGAAATCTTTATACAAGATAAAGGTGTAACTGTGAAGCCCTTCTCCATCCTGAGGGTTCTGGAAGATCTCTGAGTACGATCATCACAGAGAATTAGCTAGATGAGACAGGTGAGGGAAAGGGAGGATACCTTAGGCACCAAGGTTCAACCAGATGGCAGGGGAGGTATCTGAGTCTCAAAAGAGGCATGGCATCCCTCTTTCCCCCAGAAAGTTAAAAACACAGGCTTGGGGCTAGTTTTGTAGTTTCTCGGTAGAGTGCTTGTCCAGCACATTTGAGGCTCCTGGTTTGATCCTTAGCACTACAAAGCAAAACAAAACCATCACACAGGCTCTTCACCACTTCCTTATGTGCTCTGCACATAGCTGGTAATGGAACAACAGTGTCTTCCCTCAGACTGGCTATGAGCTCCCTGATGATGAGAACACATTCACCTTTCCTCCACTTAACTCACTGTCAGATAACAGATTAGCTCACTTAAGCTTTGGATGCATCTTCTCTGCCCCTCTGATGTGGAAGTTGAGAAGAGAGACATGTGCATTATGTATGAATATATTTTCTGGACCATAGTGGAAAGAAGGGGAAGAAGGCTGCCCCAGCCCCAAGCCCTTGGCAGAAGTCCACTTGGACTTGACATCTCCAGAGGCTCCAGGAACATATGACCTTGCTGGGTCATGTGATTTCCTGTCAGGAAGGATGGAAGAGGCTGGCAGCCCCTTCTTATCTGACCTACACTGTGTCTAAGCTATAGCTCCGCCTGCACCTTCTCTCCACTATAGCACCTTCTGCACCACCCTGACAGCAGGCTCTCTAAAGCCTGTGGATCAACTTCACACCTGCTGTGACTGAACCTCTCCATGATTCATGGTTCTCTGTTTCTAACTTGGGTCAGCAATCTTTTTTTCTATACAAAATCAGATAGTAGATATTTTAGGCTTTGTGGTTCATGGGGTTTCTATCATAACCACCCGGCTCCTCTGTTTACATGCCAAAGCAGCCGATAAATGAACTGAGCATGTCAGTGTGCTGGTACCATTTAATTGGACACTGAAATTTGAATTTCATGTATATGTTTTTATGAGGCACTAGGGATGGAATCCAGGGCCTCACACGCGCTAGGCAAGTGCTCTACCACTGAGCCACATCCCCAACCCTGAATTTCATGTATCTTTTATGTCAAGAGATAAAATTATTTTTTTGTTACTAGTTTGTTTTTATGAGATATTCTTCTTCTATATTCTTTTTTTTCTGGAACTGGCATTAAGTGTAGGGTCTTGCGCATGCTAGGCAAGCACTCTACCACTGAGCTATACCCTCAGCTCCTTTTACTTCTATTTTCATGCATTGAACTACAAAGCCTATTCTTAACTTCTGGGTTCTGTAAAAGAATGGGAATGAGGTAAATTTGCCCCTTAGATCGTCCCTACTATAATTTGGTGAGTTTCTGATGTTTGCTTCCAGTAACCCAGGCCAGGGTTAGAAATAATCAGTGAGGGCTGGGAGCATAGCCAAGTGGTAAAGCACATGTGCTTAGCATGTGGCAAGGCTCAATCTCCAGCACCAAAAAAGAAAAAAAATAATAATGAGAGAGAGAAAAAGCACTCGCGAACACCCCGTCAGGTTCTGTTATAGCCTAGGCATAGGAGGCCATCTAAAGGTACCTGCTGTCAGAGTAAGTTTTCCCCACGAAAAGTAAAGCAGCACAAATTTGTGCATAATTATGGTCCCAGCCATTTGCATAGTAAGCCATTCAGAGAGTCTTAGACTTCATGAGATGTAAAGGTGTGTCCCAAGATCATATCACATTCTCAGGACTATGATGTATACATCCTGATTGGGGGGACAGGTCATATTCTGTAGTAAAGAGAATGAGCTCTATAATCACTTGGAGTTTGATTCAACCGGACACAGCTGCCAAGTAGCTCTGTGAAGTTTGGGCAAATTTCTTAGCTTCTTAGGGTTTCATTTTCCTCATGTATAAAAAGGAAAGTTTCTCCCCTTTTAGAGTTACTTGGACTCAGTGAGAACAAATTTGACTAGGTCAGTGTCCGAGCAACATGTAGCACATACCCCATTAACTATTATGCCATTGCTATTAGTAACAACATGCCGTGTTTTGGCTACGGCGAGGTAGGCTGTTTGCAGGCCACCAGCTTACAATGAAGAGGCAAAAACAAAGAAGGCATCGCCTGGACTGTTTGTTTGGCACTTGAAGGGAAGAGTGTACTTTGGTTCTGGGATACTTGTGTTCTCCAAGTGGAAAATTCCCCTAGGTCAAACGAGACTTATTATCCCGCTACCCTGGCTTGATGGAAGGATCCCTTCTAAGAATATCTAACTCCTTCTCTACAGTTGGAAAGCACATTGTTGATCTCTATTGTTTGAATATCTGAAGAATTTACCTGCTGGGAAAGGGCCGGGAGCGTCATTGAGCTACAATGGGGTGTTCTGCCTGAGAGTCTCCCAAGCTATGTATGGGATCTGCTGAGAATCAATAAGAGGCTTAGTCTTTGGTCAATTCTGGGTGGCCTGGATGGGTCAGAACCATATTCCCTGGCATCTAGAGGACAACCATCTCTCCTCACTCCCAGAAGAATGCCCAAGTAGCCAGCCAGCCTGGCCTGCTGTGATTGCTCTGTTTATGCAAAAACATAGTAATCATCTCTCTTTTTCTTTTTCCCCCAGCAAACTCCGGAACCAGGCACAGAGCGAACGATATGGCTATAAGGAGGTAAATGCCACCTCTTTGCCTGCCATTTCCTCCTCGAGAAGGCAGGAACCCAAGTTCCCCTCATCTGTACCCCCTTGGCCTCAGCTCTGGGCCTCCCTGAGACTAGCTCCTTTCACTGTCCTCAAGTCAGGCTTGCCCCAGACTGTCCAGAGCCCTCCTCCTCCATGGGAATCAGGGAGACACCCCATGAAAGACAGGGGACTCCCTTCACTGGCCCATCCTGCAGGCCCTGTGCTGGTTCCTTCAGACATCTTTCCCCATCTTCTTCCAGGTGGTGCTTAAAGGTGATGCCAAGAAGTTGCAGCTCTATGGGGTAAGTGTCCTGGGACGGTATGCAGGAGGGCCCCAGCAGGTAAGGCAGACAGCACCTTTCTCCAGCTCGCTGCCAGGATCTTTTTGAGAATGTTTTTAGTCTCTGTTTTTGTATTTGCTTTGGCCAAATAAAAGGGACTCATGCCAGCAGGTAATCAATATATGGAATTCATTATGGCTAGAACAGCTTATGCAGGGGGAACAAAGAGCAGGGGGGATTCACACAAGGATTTGGGTTAGTAGTGACACCATGGCCCCAGGAATCCTGCCATGCATAATCTTCAAGGGAAGGCTGATCACAGTGCTTCACACCATAGGAAAACTTTCCCACGTTTACCAGTGTATAGACCCTGTCCTAACCTCTGATCTGTGAATCCATCCCAGTGGCTCCTCCCTGTTTCTCCTCCATTTCCCGGATCCCCGCACACATACCAATTCTTTGGCTCCCCTCAAATCTGACCCTTAATTGGCCATTTCCTGATCCTTTCCCACCTATGCCTTTGAGGTCACTTAATCCATTTTCCAAGGCTTTCCTCGGTAGCCACAGACACTCCTAATCAGAGAGAGTCTGTGGTTGTTTGGGAGTGGGGAGGATGCCAGCATCACCAAACATGAGACTGCCCAGACATGGCCTCATTGCATTTTTATTTTTGATGTCTGCTGTGACACCCAGGAAAGTTCAAGTGGTTTCTAAGCCTTCTTAAAAGAATAATTCAACTGAGATCATGGAGGCTGATACCTAAGGACTTAAATCTCAAAAGAATGTAACTGACTACATCCACCCCATCCCTTTATTTACTTTTACTATTATCCTCCTTGTTCCATGTATATGCTAGAGAGGATTTAAAACTATTCTCCCAGTACATCACTGTCCAGTGGAAACTTACATGATAACAGAAATGTTTTATATCTGTCCTGCCCAGTATGGGAATCATTAGCCACATGTAGCTACTAAGCATTTGAAATGGCGCTGTCTACTAGTGGAGCACGAGGGAGGATGCGAATTCTGTTTCAAAGCAGCTTTGAGTCAGCCAAGTAGACCACACTTTCCTGAGTTGAAAAAATCTATACATGGTGGCAGACATGTTCAAGGAATGCTGCAAGGATTTGGTCTCTATAAATCATGTGATAGATAACTGTGTAAAGAGGGCAACTAGAGGCTGTGGAACAATACTGGAATCATGCTAACATGAGGAAATAGTATCATACTTAGAAATCTTGGCATGAGTATAAATAATGTCTGTCCAGCAGAGAAATCTCTGTCCCTTCTCCAAAAGACCTGTTTTAACTTATGACATAAAACTTGGGAAAATTGGATCTTATATATTTTTTTTCTTTTTTTGTTTGTTTCGTGTTTCTGGGATCAAACTTAGGGCCTTGCACATGCTAAACAAGTACTCTACCACTGATATATGCCTTCAACCCACATTATTCATATTAAACTCTGGATTAAATAAACTTTTGTAATAATCGAAAAAGTGTGGCTACTGCAACTGATAAACTAAATTGTAATTTTTGTCTTATCTTGATTAGTTTCAATTTAAGCTGCCACATGGGGTTAATGGCTACCAATTCTGTCAATAGAGTTTTATAAAATAGAGCTCGTTTCTCGGTGAGAACAAATTTGTTCTCGGGTTGACAAAGGAGAATAAAGGGTTGACAAAGGGCTAGAATGGAGTTTATTTGGCTGTGGATGAGACGAAGACCTCCGGGATGGGTGAGTAAAGTGCTTCTGGAATCTCCTCTCACACGCCCCCTTTCTCCCCGCAGCAGACCTGTGCAGTCTGTCTGGAAGACTTCAAGGGGAAGGACGAGTTGGGCGTGCTCCCATGCCAACATGCCTTTCACCGCAAGTATGTGGGGTTATGGCCAGGATTGCCCTGTGGAGAAGAAATAATCAGGGAGCATTTTCTAGAACCTTTCACTCCTTGACACCTCCCATCTTCCCCTTACCAATGATGCCCTAGATTTGGTCTTGTCTGAACACCAGAAAAGCCAGAAGTGTTAGGTTGTGGCAGGCACAGGGATGTTCTTCAAGAAGCAGTGGGACTGAGAAGCAGCTGGAGCAGTCTGAAGGATCTTCTTAGAAATAACAATTCTGTCGTTCACAGGTGCCTAGTGAAATGGCTGGAAGTGCGCTGTGTCTGCCCCATGTGCAATAAGCCCATCGCTGGGCCTGCAGAGGCCACTCAGAGCATCGGGATCCTACTGGATGAGCTGGTGTGAGGGCTGCCTCTACACCAAGACCTGGAGAAGACTTCTTACCATGTGGGCACCTGGTCTCTCTTGCACAGCTACAATGAACAAGTCTTGGATGATGATGGTCACGCTTACCTAAAAGGGAGAACGGCACGGGGCTGGTCTTCCCCCAGCAGGGCGAGACCAGTGCCAGCCTTGCTTCACCTCTCTGCCTCCTGAAGCCTCCTTCCCTATTACTCAGTACTGATGGCCTCAACCAGCCAGACCTCTATATCCTGGCACTGGACTATCTATTTACCTTGTCCATGCTCTGGGAAGAAATCCATCTTTATCTGGCTGTGAACATGGAGCACCCTATTTGAAGGTTCTCCATGGAAGGCAAGCTTCCCTGACTTAGGAGCAATGAGCTGACTCTTGTCACACCTCCAGTGTCTCATCCCCGCTCCTCATAGGAGGTTAGAAGGGAAGGAAGGAAGGAAAGATCAAAGAACCAAGTACTTTCACTGGAGATGAGGGAGGTTCTGCATGAAACAGGGGAGAGCAGGGACCTATAAAAGGAATAAGTCAATGTTTACATGGAACCTATTGAAATAAAGGCTGGCTGGCTGGCTAGCTGACTACAGGGGACAGGGGCACTGATCCCTTCCCCTGCTAGGATCTGAGGTGCTATCTATCTGTTCTCTCCCTCTTCCTCAGTTAATCTCAGAGCTTCCTATTTCTTGTTGTGGTGTGAAAGCCTCTCTAGAGGAAGGGTTTGTCCTATACACAGCCTGATTCTCAGAGGTTTTTTCTAAAGGAACAAAAGGGGTCTGGGGACAGGGGCATCTGGAGGTTACAGCAGCAAGATACCTGCTTCCCCTTTGTAAATAGTATTTTTATACTTCATCCTCACCATCTCAGGCTTTACATATGGGATCCCCGGAATTCAGGGGTGGGAAAGGCTTCTGTCCCTCCCTAGAGTGGGCTCGGGAGGGAAAAAGTTATGTATTTAAAGAAAATTAAATTTAATAACAAGTTTCTCTAACCAACCTTTGCCTGTGGTTATAGCCCGAACCTGTGGGGCTCTCTGCTGATAGAGGGAACAAAGCTCTCTCACTGCCTCATCCTACTTCCTCCTACCAAAATCAGACACACACCCACTTGCTGGAACAACCTAGCCTCTTATATGACATCTAGAAGAATGGCATGGTAATGTTTTATGGTACTGTGTGCACTCAGATCTTGCACCATGTCCCAAGAGGGTTCTGAATAACAGGGTGTGTTAGGTGGACTGAGAATGTCAGGAACAATTTTCCATGCAATCTTAAACATGAAGCATGTGGGCCCTGGCTGCCCTCTGCTCAGTGAAAAAGGGCAATGTCCATGGCCATCCAGGGAGAAAGCCCAGGGTGCTGAGCACAGGCTAAGTATTTGTTGAGCAAAATATGTTGTGCTGGTGAGTCATCTGTACAAGAGAGGCCCATACAAAAAGTGACAGGCCCCAAGGGCACCCCTGTGCTTGTGTGATATAGGGTATGGGCACACTTTGCATTTACATTGGACAGTCCAGAGGGGACTGGCAGTCCTAGTGGAGTCCTTACCACCTCTGTTAGTGGGGTCCTCTGCCCTTGCAAAGGGTGTACTTATTCTTGTCCCCTCTTCCTCCTTGTGCTCGGGGATGACCCTACTCTTCCTCAAAACTTTCACCTGCTATTTGCTGCCACTAAACTTGTGGGGACTGATCTTTCCTCACGGGGACATGGACTCCTTTAGCACTTTCAGCTTGCTTTAGTGTAGGGAATAAAATGCATTACTGAAGCAAAACAAGAGCCTTCCCTCAGCTCTTGCCACGGCCTCCTGGTGGATATACTGCTGGGATCAGGAGGGAGAACTGGTGGTCAGAAGGTTGGCTTCAACTTTCCTACCTCATCATCTCCCCTTCCTCTTCAAGACAATTCATCAGTGTTGAATTAATCAGTATTAGCATAACTCAAGATGAAAATGTTAGCACTAAAATGTATGTTTCAGAGATTTTCTAATATCCTGAGGTCAACAGGACAGGGGAAAAATGCCTGTGTTGCTTCTGTTCAGTCAGAGCAGTATGTCCACACAGAAAGGAAAAGTGGATATTATTAGCTGATTGGCTATGAATTGGCAGCAGCTGAGCACAGGTTAAATCATAACTCCCAAATTCATAGTCATCAGTGTGGTCTTGTCACTCAGTTCAGTGTTTTCAGAACACATGCTATCCCGGGCACTGGGAGACAGAACAGCCCTTACCTTGGGGAAGCAGCGTGAGTACTGTGTTTGGGGTGAACATGCTTGTATGGCACAGAAACCCTTAGCTCAACTGCTGTGGAAGCAACAGCAGGAGGTTGCCTGCTGGAATATGATGGCTGAGTCTCCTAAAAGCAGTAGTATGGCCAAAGTCATGCAAGAATTAACCAGCCTATTTTGTACCAGGGAATGCAAACAATTTTGTATGAAGTTAAGGCAGGGAAGGATGCAGTCAGCTAAGTCCTGTGTGGGGCCAGGAACCTGGGACATGATATGGTGAGCTTCCTAAGATTTATATCTAGCACCATTTAGGAGCTAAGCCTATTATTTTCTCCTCTGTGCACTAAGGCAACTTCATAGGTAACTACAACATACTTGGTACTATTCAAATTAATGAAGAATTAGCACTCTGAACATGTTTAAAAGGGTAAACCATTGAAGGAAATTAAGCAATAATTGTACATATACCAGGATTCCACCTTCACTGGTCTTACCTGTGGCAAACACCATGTGATCAGTCAAAAGATTCTAGGCAAACCTGCCAAGTTTCTTCTCCCATGAAGGACTCTGCTGTCCTTTCTGGGTAAACTCCTCTGATTCTGGATGAGGGAAAGAATGCTGAGAAAGCCAAATGGTTCATCTGTAATTCCACGAATAATAAGAGTCAAGGCCAAATGTGAACCCGGGTAGGGCGTATCTAAATTCAATATCAACTTCACTGCTCCACAGAGCTTTGGAAGCAGATGGGCTCTCCATGGAGAAACTCAAAAAAAATACCAGGTACTAGTAACTTCCTGGGCTAATGAAGTCAGGGAAGATACAAACACCAGGTACTTCTCAAATAATCTGTGCAGTCTGCCATTATGTAGAGCCATGGGTGGTATTTGGTTTTGTTTGTTTTCTTAACTTCACTGTGAATGACTTCTTTATATGGGACTACTATTTATAGAATAGGTAATTGGAGTAGGGTTGAGAAATTGAGAGCTCCAATTAGGCAAAATTTGAAAATCTCTGACTGTGATACAATGGGACAATGGGTACCTTGAAGCATTGAGCCCTCCCATTCACCCATCTCCCATGAATTGTTACTCCTGACCCCCACATCTACTAGGGCTTTTCCCATTTTTACTAACTCCCCAGTTTGTCATGTTTTCCCCACAATAAGACCCGACCTCTGACTTCCATTCCACCACCCTCTTTTGTCTTTGGGCATCGGATATCATCTTACTGGTCTCTGACCATCTCACTGACAGGTTAATCTTCTATTGAAGCCATATAAGCAGATTCTGAGGAAGAGATGTGCTCACATTGGAGACAAGGACAAACTGGTCAAGTTATGTAAGCTTGTACAAATTCATGAAAAAAAATTAAACTGTTTACTGTGCCCCAGACAATAGCATTGGATTCCTATTGATCCCATTAAAAACAAAAGAAAAAAAGAAGCATGCTTGCTTAATTCCTTTCTGATAAGCAGCTATGTAGACCAGGAAAACAACTGATGTCACTTTTGTGCTGTGGTATGGTTTGTGGTTCTTTTCTGATGTGATGATTTCAACAAGAAACCAGGACCTATGCTCTGTAGAGGAAGAGGCAACAAAGAACTGCACTAGAAGATGCCCTTGATAGCTGCCAAGAATTCTTCCCAGCCTTGACCTCTCCATTGGCAATATTCAGCAACACATTTTTCTTATCTGTCTCCCTTCTTTCCAGTTCTTTTAAGCTCCCTCTTCCTTTCTTTATTTTTTTTTTCCTGAATCCCAACCTATTCTCTGGTATTGCGGAGGGCACCACACCATTGCAAAATCCTCCTGATGGGCTACTATTGTCATGAGTGGTTCAAAAAAATTACAAATGACTAAGTGTTTACACCCAAATGATGGTATAAGCCCCAACATGGACCAGCTCTGTTTCTAAATGTTTATTATTTTATATGTCCTTTGTGTCTCAAGAGAGCAGCTGATATCCTTAAAAGACACAAATAGAATTTGTGGTGACTTTGATGCATTAAAGAAATGATGCAATGGGGCTGGGGCTCAGTGGTAGAGCGCTCACCTAGCATGTCTGAGGCCCTGTTCCATCTTTAGCACCACATAAAAATAAATGAATAAAGATATTGTGTAAAAGAAAAAAGAAATGATGCAAGCCAGCAGCAGCAGCACACACCTATAATTCCAGCAACTTGACTGTAAGCTGAGGGAGGAGGATTCCAAGTGCCAGGCCAGGCTTAGCAACTTAGCAAGACCCTGTAGCTTAGTGGTAAAGTGTCCCTGAGTTCAATCTCCTGTACCAAATAAATAAGTAATACAGTGTGAGGAAGGCCATTACATCCAAGCGCATATGAGGGAAAAACTAATGTCTTTAGTGGATGTTGGGTTGGGCATAAGTCAGAAAAAAAATAAAAATAAATCCAAAATGTAATAGCATGATTACAGTGTGCCAGGGACTCATTCTCTCTGCAACCTTCAATATTTAACTCTCTGTTGGGTTATTTGATTCAGATTTTATGTCTGCAGAAGAACAGAGAGATATAAAAATTCCCATGAAGGGCTGGGGTGTACTCAGTGTTGGTGTACTTATTTAACATGAGAGGTCATGGTTTGATCTCCTGCACACACACACCATGAGGAAGATATTAGAATATTTAAAATCTGAAGGCATAAAAAACATACAAAAAAAGAAAGTGGTTTTCAGCACTATGTTGTAAGCTGTAAGCTTGAGTCTATTGTAAACTCAAACGTCCTAGAAATTGTTTTCTTCCCTTAAAATTGCTTTTGAAGCACGCCTGTAATCAAGCAATTCCAGAGGCTGAGGTAGGAGGATGCCACATTCAAGGCCAACTTCAACAACTTAGCAAGACCATGTCTCAAAATTAAAAAATAAAAAAGGATGAAGATGTAGTTAGTGTAGCTCCTAGGTTCAGTCTACAGTGCAACAAACACACACAAAATAAGCTTCAAATGATTATACACTTCTTACATTATTTTTTATAGGTAGCTTCTCTTTAAGTAATTGAACTAAGGATGACCAGAAATCTGCCTTGACTACAAAGATAAGCACATAACTTGCTGATTAATTTTGAAGAGTAGCTCTGACTTCAAGGTGGTTTTAGGAATAACTGAGATAATGAAATCACTTTATTATTTATAAGAATTGTGTGTAGGGTGGTGCTGGGATTGAATCCAGCGCCTTGCATATGCTAAGCATGTACTCTACCACTGAGCCATATTCCCAGCCCCTCATTTTATATTTAAAATGCAGTAATGGTGATAAAGAGGTCTTCAGTTTCTTAGTTAACTTTTAATCTTGCTAAATTATATGTTGTGTATTAAGGTAGAAAAAGAGACAGAGGGAGAGAAAGAGAAAAAACATCGGAGTGTAAGATATCCTCCCCTTGATGCACATATTAACATTTCTTGCTCATTTATCCATGGAATATTCTGATTTTGGACTTTTTCCACATCCTAAATTTAGAAAGCTAGAATTATCTTTTAAGCACCACTTTAAGCAACCTTTTTGAAAGGAAGAATGCCAACAAGGGGGAAATCTATATTTCCTCGTGGTTGGAATGCAATCTCTCTAACACAGTCATTCAGCAGAGAAGTCTTATTACATGCTGATGTTACAGCAAGGACAGTAATCCAGAAAATTCATTACAAGTGTGCAAGAGTGAAAACTTCTACATTAAGACCGAGAAACATGAGAAACACAGACTGCTGCCAGGCAATGAATTATAGGCATCCCCTCTTTGTGTGTTCAGGGAGCCATGCACATT